GGGGCAACCGTTGATCCAGTGCTGCTGCAGAATAGACACAGAGATTTCATTCTCTACAGTCTTCACCCGAATATAATGCCCGATCATTATAGCTGTATTTGAGGCATTTTTCAGTCCAGATGCAGCGATAATGACCGGGCGTTCTATTCCGGTGAAGACGGTAGTTCAGGTTGTTATCGATGACAGAGATCAGCCAGCTCTACTCCACAAAACTGCTGGCCACCCACTTCCAAAGAGACACCGTTTTCCACATGAATAGAACTCCCCCAGGAAAAAAAAAAAAAAAAAAAAAAAACTCCCCCAGGGGCTGTGCCCGACTCTCAACGGGGTTGTATCTATGATCGGACGGCGAGCAGAAGAGAAGACAGCCCGATCATCCAATCTAGTTACCCATACAGTCATGTATTCTGGCCCTACCGTCTTTCACCCGAATAGAACGCACGGTCATTATAGCTGTATATGGGGCAAGTTTCAGTCTAGATACAGCGATAATGACCGGGCGTTCTATTCGGGTGAAGACGGTAGATAGCCAACGGAGGTCAAGCGGCAGGCTTGCCAGACACTCAATGAGTCAGCCAACCAGCAGCACACGTTTGAGTGACCCAACACCAAGGCCTTCCTCAACCCGTGGCCCCACTCGCAGCATCAATGGAACCTCCATGAGCAGAAGAGTTCTGTGCAGCCCGTCCCAAACAGGTATGCAGACCTCTCAAAGCCGACCCCTTCACCACCCCTCTCGCATCTGTGTGTGTGTGTGTGTGTGTGTGTGTGTGTGTGTGTGTGTGTGTGTGTGTGTGTGTGTGTCCTTATTCACAGGAGATTCAGGGCATCGCCACACCACTCTCGAAATGTGCAAAATGAGAATGAACTTTCCGCTAGAACACGGCCAGATGCACCCGCCACAGTTTTGTCTTTTTCACATTTCGAGAGAGTGGTCTGGCGAGGCCCTCACTCGGAAGCCAGCGGGTCACATAAAAGATTGCCAGTAAAATAAATAAAAATAAAACAATAAAAAAGATTGTCAGAGGAGCGGGGTAAGTGAGTGCGCCTCTGGACCCGGACTGGCAACAAGGACAGAGGAGCGGGGTAATGCGTGAATCTGGACGTGTTTGTGGAGGAAGGGGAATGGGACAAAGAGCTCCCGAGAAGTGAAGAGAATCCACCACCATGGTGGGTTTTTTTTTTTTTTTTTCGGTGGGTAATGCTCCATTCTAGCGGTGGGGAGCAGCACCTGCTGCTGGAAACGGAGCATTAATTACAAAAACAGATATAGAAATAATAATAATATAATAATAATAATAATAATCGTTCCACAGAAAGACAAAAAAAAGTACAAAAAAATGCACAGCTCACCCCCATTTTTTTTTATTTTTTTTTTAATACGTGTTTACGTCCTTCAGGGCTCCCTCTGTGTGATTTTTGACGGCGCCGGCGCCGCTGGCGTGCTCCCCTCTGTGATTTTTTACTTCTCCTCCTGTAGGGTTAGGTCTAGAGGCATTGATTACTTCTCATTTGAGAAGGATTTTTTTCTCTCTCTCTGTTTTTCTCTCTCTCTGTGTGTTGTGTGTGTGTGTGTGTGTGTGTGTGTGTGTGTGTGTGTGTGTGTGTGTGTGTGTTGTGTGCCTGTGTGTGTGTGTCCCATCATGATGATGTTCTACGGTTCTCAAGGTACTAACTAGTGTTTTTCTTTTTTCTTTTTTTCTCTTTTTTTTTTTTTTTTGTGTGTGTGTGTGCGTGTTGTCATATTCGCTATACACTCAAAAAAAAAAAAAAAAAAAAAAAAAGCATGACTGTGCCAAACAGACTGTTTCGTCGGAATTTCACCGACTCATCAGAGTGCGTGTCCCAGGATGATGATTTGTTGATGTGCGAATTGCCGTCTGGTTCGGAATCATCGCTCAATCTAGTCAGAAGGTTGGCCCAAATACAGCTAGAACGAACGGACTTTCTATTCGGGGGAAGACCTGTTGTTCCAATTAGGAATAGGCTATTTCAAGGTCGTTTTTTTTCTTTGGGGGGGGGGGGGGGGGGGGGGGG